TTAACTAAATTTTTGTTAGTGTACCGACGATGCTTCGTATCGAAACGAGAGAATCTTTAATCGTGGAATATATTATGCTATATCGGGATAAATTTGCATCGTTAATAAACGCATACGCGACTGCGTTTTACGTTTACGCACAGATTCGCTAAAATGATCGGAGATGCAGTCTTTAATAAATAAATAAATAAAAAAATCTGTTTGATAACAGTTGCGTTGACTCGTGAAGTTCGATTGAATATTTAATAATTAATAACTATCGCCGCATTTGACAACGGTCACTAAATATTTAATTGATTCGACTATAAACGAATGTTTGTTCATAATTGAGTTCACTAAATAATTTGTATGTATCAATTATTATATAGGTATTTAACTGCTGTCTTTAAATATTTCAAAAGTATTACTAAATTTTTTTATCGAAAATTTAGTACAGCAATTTTTAATTCAATTTTATATAAATCTAGGACAAATATAGTATAAATAAATACGATATAATTATGGTATAATTTATTCTTCAAATATTTGAAAAGTAATACTAAATTTTTTACCGAAAATTTAATACAGTAACTTTTAATTCAGTTTTATATAAATCTAGGACAAATCTGATATAAATAAATATGGAATAAACATGAGAGAATAATAATAAAGATAATAAAAATTTATCAGATTCTATAGTACAATATAAATATAAAAACAACTATACATTATTATTATTTCGATGAAACTGAAGTTGCTTCAGCGAGCTTTCGGTAAAAAGTTCGGTATTAGTTACTGAAATAATCCCAGCAGCGGGATTATTTTGCTTACAAGCTCGCAAGCTTGTATGGTGAAAAAAGGGGAGAAAAAAAATTCCGCTTGACACGCTTTCTCTCGCGTTCTAATATACGTTACACGATGTTCTTTATACCCGCGTCACGTTTTCCGTTCTTCTTTTCGCCCACGCGTAAAGTCACCAGCGTGGTTATTAGCGACTATACGGCTCCACAACAATGGTTAGAACGAAAAGCATCCGCCGATTCTGATGCTAATAGCAAGCTGAACCAACAACACGTCTCCAAGGTTTAGAAAAATCCTCCAACCATTCTTCGACAGTTGTCAGAAATTTTATATACCATTTTTCGCTAAAGTCTCGATTTAAGATGATCCTAAAGCACTGCTTTATTGATAAAACGCAAATTTGGATTTAATAATAAATCTTTTTATTAACTATACAGATTGAAAAATCTTTAATTTTATGTAAAAGACCAAACAAGAATTTTTAAAGACTGATAAAAATGTAATTTTTCCCTTTTTTGGTTTTTGAAATTATTACAAATTATTTGTTGATATTAATACTTTAATTGTGGAAAAGGATTTATTAATCGAAATAGATAAATTTATGAGTTCAAGTACCTATATTTTGATTGACTGTACAGATTGATAAATCCGTTATTCAATAAATCTGTATAGCCAATAAAAAGATTAATGATTGAATTTAACTTGAAGGCTGTTATCGATAAAACAAAACTTGAGAATCACTTTAAAACGGAGCCTGTTTGAACGCGTTAATTTTGTTCTCTGTCAAGTTCAATTTCTTTCAGAGTCTAAATCTTAAAGCGCGGCTTCGAAACAAGAGATATATTGTTGTATGAGAAAAAAGAGGAAAAGATTGGAGACACGCCGCGTTTGTGATGGTCGTTTTCGAGCAAATCCGACGGTATCGCAAACCGTTTGGAAGGAAACAGCGGAATATGTTTTCCGCTTTGACGACCAGGATAGACGAGACGGTAAAAATACAAGCCGGAGTTCGATTCGGTGCTGATCGTTCGAAAAACTTGGCCGTCGATCCGCAACTTACCACCGACGGTTCCTCAAGTTCCCACGGTCGTATCGCGTCGCCGAAGATGGAAGAAACTTGTTGTTCGCGCGGAGTTTTCGCCGTTCCGAAAAAATTCGCGCTCGTAAAACTATGGATTTCGGAAAGAAATGTTCAAGAGACGAAAATCACGATTCTATTTAAGTTGCGACGTTTGGATTTTTAATCGCTCTGAAGCCATTTTGACTCTGCATTGAAATAACATTTGTTAACTTTTCAATTAAATTTATACTATTTGGTTAATTAAGCATATATTTGTGTTTAAGTCAAATATATGTTTTGTTAAATTTAATATGTTATAATTGTAAACAAAGAAGGGCTATAAGAGCTATTAAACGTAATACAGTTGATAGTTGATATTAATAAAATTCATTTAAACCAAATAATAAATACATAAGAAATAAATATTTTGCGAACGTTTCGGCTGACATTTCAAGCCTTCTTTAGCGCAATAAAAATATTTTAATTATAAATTGAATTGTAATATTAAACATTAAAGACAAGTCAAGATAATATATATTTATATAAAGTCAGCTTTAGATCTCGTTACATATGTTGCTAAACAAGTCATCGTGTATAACAACCACCATTACTGATACATACTAAGTTCGAGCGACCGTACCATGCAATCACTTATGAGTATAGACTTCCTGATTTACTGGTCAAGGGAGATATCTTGATTAAATCTTCATGATGAAATGTTGTTAAGCATTTAATTGAGATCTAAATAAACAATATCTGATTATTCATTATAATCTGCTAAGTAAAATGCACTACACACTCACTCAAACAAAATGGTGATTATTTTATACAAGTTTCAAGTATCAGATCCGACATCTTTTTAAATGTTTTTAGTGGAGACAAAATAAAACGTCCAACCGTCACAACTCTCAGATATCAAATGAGACAGTAACTCGGTGTTTCACCTTTTTATATCAAGGTTTGTTTTTAAACCCTGATAATTTATCAGGGTTTCAGTAAATTTATCAGTAAATCAGGAAGTCTATACTCATAAGTGATTGCATGGTACGGTCGCTAATATATTATCTTGACATTGTTAATAACCGTCTTTAATGTTTAATATTACAATTCAATTTATAATTAAAATATTTTTATTGCGCTGAAGAAGGCTTGAAATGTCAGCCAAAACGCAAAATGTTTATTTCTTATGTATTTATTATTTGGTTTAAATGAATTTTATTAATATCAACCGTCAACTGTATTACGTTTAATAGCTCTTATAGCCCTTCTTTGTTTACAATTATTAAGTTTAACAGAACTAATTACTATTTTTATTTAATATGTTATATTTAATTTAAATATTTTTATATGTTCAATTAATGAATTAAATATTTATTTGAAAGGTTTAGTCAAGTTGACAAACCTGTTTTTCAGTGTGTTTGGTTTAGAAACTTTCTAAATTATGAACCCCGTCGACTTGACGGTACTGAAATATTTTTTTTAAATTTATTATGTTCGAAATATTAAAGTGTTCCATTAGTTTCTTCCACCATGTATATTCTGTGCACGATAGAGATCGGTACCATACATTGTACGCGGATTCTTCGATTTTTCGTATCTCCAGAACTTTTTCTTATTATACAGGGTGTTTTATTTTAATTAATATAATCAAATATTTTGTTGAAACGAGTGAAAAAATACATAGCTGCATGCTAAGTGCAAATTATATACTTTTTCTTAAAAATAATTATGTATTTTCTTTATATCAATTAATTCCTATTATTTTGCATAAAAGTATTGAGATAGCATCATCGAAGAATGAATATTTCATAGTTTATGTAAAATAATGTAAAATTGTCACATTAAAGTACACAAAATCTCTCATAAAATCACTTTTTATCCGTGCTATTTTTATCACACTAAATATTGCATCGAGGAATAATCAATTTAAAAAATCGGTACAAAAAAATAGGGCAGCCGCATTAGAAAAAAAAAACTAGATTGACTTAAATAATCTGAAAAAATGCGCTCAAGTTAAAATTGATTCGAAATTCAAGACGCCCAACATATTTCCCCTTCGAAACTATTGAACTTTCATACGAAATATCTGCTCGATTGTATCAATTAAACCGAGACACCCTGTATAATTGTAAAAACTAAAATGGCTCTGAAATAATGTTGAAAAATGGCCTGAATAAAAATTCAAAACGCCCAACATTTTCCCCTTCGTAACCTTCGAAATTTCGTACGAAATATCTGCTCGATTGTATAAATTAAATTGAGACACCCTGTATAATTGTCCGCAATATCGCTTATCACTGGTGCAACACCTCGGGGCTAACGTACCGTCGCTTCTCCGACTCGCGTCTCGGATATGCGTAACCAAGCTCGCCCGAGCGCCGTCCGACTAAGATCGAGCCGTATCACTTACGGATCCGTCTGACGTCTGACCGTACGGTCGACTCGCGTCACTTAACCCGATCCGCGATCAGCGCGGGACGACGCGCTAATCGATTCGCGCTTCGAGATAGAGCTCGGGAACAGGACGGGCCGCGGAAAAATCTTCACTTTATTATTTATTTATTTATTTGTTTATTTAATTTTATTGATTCTTAATTAATTAATTTTGTATCGCTAGTGTGTCGATCAGTAAATCGATGTATTTTTATATAAATTCGACCGATACTAGCTATAAATAGTTTATTTATTACAAAAAACAATGTGTGTAATAAATAAACAATTGATAGCTAGTATTGGTCGAATTTATATAAAAATAGCTCGTTTTATTTCTTTTATTATTCCGCTGTCCTGAATTTTCTCGGGAAAGTGTGCGGAAAATTGACCTCGTCCGGCTAAACAGATCACACATCGGGGAGAATCGCTTCCGTTCTCTGTCCTCGAGATGCCGTCTATTATATGAAAAATGAACGCTCGATGTAACGAGAAGGGTTGAGAAAAAGGGAGAAGAGAATGGGGTAGGCGGAGGCGATTAATTTTAAACGGACGGAAATTGAATGAATTTCGTGCGAATGGATACGTGATCTTTCAATTACGAGGCTCTCCGCGAGTTTCTAATAAAGCGACGAGGAAAAATGATTAAAAAATAGCAGGAAATAAAAAAAAACACCGGAAAGATTTTCTCCAGGAAATCGAAACGCGTCGATGTATTGTAATTACTCACTCTGCTCCAAGTCAATGTCCATCTTGTCCCGTCCCTCGAGTTGTATCGCTCGCAACATCTATCTCTCTCTTCCGAGACGTTTCACGCCGCTCTCCCTTAAGTCGCGATGAAATCGCCGCGACAAATTCGCCAGGCTTCGGGAAGCGAAGGCGCGACGCGTCGCGAATCCTTCATCGCTCCGCACCAAATCAGAGATCGTTCCGGACGTATTTTCCCAGGGAAAGGGACTCTATGGACGACGACGGGCGCCTTCGCGAATCCACCTTCACGTTTAACGTTTAACGTTAGAAATGATCGGAACGCACAGAAACTCGAACTCGGATACTGATTGCGAGCTGAAGTGCGCGAGTATCGAGCCGACGGCCTCGACAGGGAGAACGTCGACGAGAGCCTCCTATCCGACTCGGGCTTCGGAGGAAGAGTGAGAGGGAGGAGAGCTGCGACGGCAGCGAGTTCGCGAGAAGTGTACCTCGCCGGCTTATACGTGCGGACGCACCCTGCTCGGCGACAGGGCGCAGGATCGCGCCGCGGCTGGCCGGCGCGCATGCGCAGCGGCGGAACCGCATGCGGGAATTCGCCCTGCTCTCCCTTATTTCTCCCTTATCTCTCTCTCTCTCTCTCTCGCCTTCCTATAAATGTTTTCTTCGCTTTTATTACGCGCGCACGGATGCACTTTTTATTCCCGCTCCTGGATTACATTAATGACGACGAGAATTCGGATTGGCGAAGCCAGGAAACTCCGCGGTTGCGGTCGCCGATAAATGTCTTCTTCTCTCTCGACTCGCCTGCGTTCTTCGCTTTATCTTTTATATATATATATAATACTTTTCTGTTCTTCTTTTCCCTCGTCTCGCTTTTGTAGCTTTTTATGTTATCTCTTCGTCTGCGTGCGCGACTCCAGGTGACGATGGCTCGTCAAACGACGAGGACGAAAGTAGTAGATGAAAGTCATGTGAAACTTATCCGATTTTCGGAGTTTAATATTTTAGTTCTGTTCGATTAATAAAATTTTATTTGTGGTTTGAGTTCAGATCGGTGGAAGCCAGATCGGTTTCTATCTATAATAAAATTTAAAAAATTTTGTACGAAAGAACTTTTTTTTGAAATTATATTTTTTTAAATGAATAAATTTAATTGATTAAATAGAAAATAATTGGAATTACTCTGGCAGAATTTAAGTGTATTAAATTTGGAATTTAAATGATGTATAATTGAAAAAATTATACAAGTAATAATTTGTCAAAATTTAAGATTATATTTATATGGAGTATTAAATATATTAGGATTATTAATTTTGTTGTTAGTTATATTAGTCGGGGCAGCTTTTTTAACTTTATTGGAACGAAAAATTTTGAGATATATTCAAATTCGTAAAGGACCTAATAAGGTAGGATTTATGGGATTATTTCAACCTTTTATTGTTAGTGATGCTATTAAATTGCTTAATAAAGAATTATTTTATGTATATAAATCTAATTATAATTTTTTTTATTTATGTCCTAAATTAGATTTATTTTGATAATAATAATATGATTAGTATTTCCTTATATTACTAATGTTTATTTTTTAAATTATTCTACCGTATTGAAAAAAAAAAATGTTCTTGCGTAAATTCAAGATACCATGAGGAGAAAGAGACAAAAAAATTCGATATTTAGAACTCCTAATCAAAAAGGGGATATATTCTCTATTTCCACAATTTCGAACAGTTGATATAAATTCGATATGCCCTTTTAGTTAGTCGAAAACGTCAGATAGTTTGCGCATTCGTCGCTCGTTTGTATGCTAAATCGGCTCCCATATATCTCGAGTTCTTAAAGTTTAAAAATTTTTCTCCCTCTGTGTGGAACTTTTTTCGACGACCTATATATAGCGATATAGATTTTTTCTCCTATATTATTTTGCACATGCTTGTTTCCAATCTGTTATATTATATATTTCTTTATTATGATATTATTACTTTATTATATTTTATGTATTCATATATGAATTTAATAATTTTCGAGATTATTTTCTCAAAATTTCATATTCTTTTAGAGAATTCCAATTGTTAATTCAAAAAAATTTAATTTTGATAACAAAGCTGCGATATAAATTGATAGAGACAATATTTTATGAATATAAATTTTAATTTTTCAACCCTTCAGCTAGAGGTAAAAAATAAATGACTTATTAAGGTATCTTTCACTCCGTTCATGTTTTATCGCAACTGCAGATTGACTATATAGCAATCATTAATATTATTTGTTACATTTCGTATTCCTTGCTACCATCCCGCGCACTGGTGGGAGATTTAAAATTTAAGATTTTAAAATTTTCACGCGAATCGCGAACTGGAACGGGCGGAAAAATCGATGGTTAAACGACCGGCTTTTTAGTACATCCAGATCCGTTTATATATCAGACTCGCATATCGTGCTTAACGTTCAATGATGAGTCGGAATATTTTCGAGTGGACGAAATCGGGACGTCTCAAGTATCGATGGCACTCAATCGCTTCATCGATAGGTACATACTTGAAATTTTTTAAATTCATAATCGTACAGGGCGCTTCAAACTGTCAAGATTTGACGAATAGCTGGCTGACAAATAGCTATATTGGCTTATAAATAAAGAAGACAGAATATTCTTGCACTAAAGAATTGTATTCTTATTTTAAAAACTTTTTCCATTTATTTTTAGAGTATCCTATTCTAGGAACCACAAGGGTCCTCTTATTTTAAGAGGAGAGTTCTTTAAAGATTAATATCAGATATCTTTTATTTATAAAAATATAGACAAAATTGAATTTATTCTAAATACGTTGACAAAAAAGTTATGGAAACACTTAAGAATATCCTTTAAGAGGGATTTTATAATATACAGTTTACTTCGAGAATATAATATTTTCGGTGGCGAATTAATTTGTGGATGCACTGAAAAAAATTATTAAATTAATAAATATATTTGTTTCAATACTGTCAAATAAATCATTTATTTAAGACAAATAAATATTTATTTGTTTTGAAATGGATTTCCTTATATTAAATAAATATTTTTCAAATCAAATCAATATTATTAGTTTCAATAAATAATTTACTTGGCAATATTGAAATAAATACTTATTCGAATTCAATACATTTTTTTTCAGTTTGCATATATATGTTTTTGCGAATTTTATTAATTATCAGCTAACGAGTCCTGCGTAATTCTGAAACGTTTTCAGAATCAGTCCCTCCCTTTTTGCGCCTCCCGTTTTATTTAGCTTCCGCACTTTCTTAGCCGCGTCCAGCTAACGTTTCCGCCTCGAATTCCTTTCCTTCTGCGTATAATTTGACGCAAAAATGACAGTTCCAATATTGTCTGTCGTGCATGTATCCCGATATATCCCAGCGCGGTTAACGTCTAATATCCATTCTCTATCAAAAAAAGATCCGATAAACGGATAAAGAAGAAATTTCTAGCGTGTAAAAATTCTTGGAAGATCCAATTCTTGCCGCAACGATATATAAAAGTATATATAGTCTATATATATATATATATATATATATATATAGTATATATATATATATATATATATATATATATATATATATATATATATATATATATAGTCGCGCTCGCTTCGATTCATTCCAAAGATTAATTCCTATCAAAATTGACAATTGACGTTATAATAACGTAAATATTTTAGACGGTAATTTAATTAGTGAAAAAAAATGATTTGTTCATTACGCAAATTTTTGCCCGCTTTCTCTCTCTCTCTCAAGAGAGAACGCAGGTGCAACACTTGCATTCCCCTCGCGACGCCGAATGGTCTGTAGATGTAGAATTTATCGTTTACGACCTTTATGTCACTGTCGTACAATACAGCATTTCCACTCGATCGTTTGATCGTACTTGTTTCTCGTTTACTCCTACGTCTCTTCGGTATCGCGTGGGATTTCAAGGCGGACTAGGAATATCAAAGATCCACACATACATACACGGAGAGAATATCAAAGATACACCTACGTACGTAGGTGCATACTCAGACGCGAACGATTCCTCTTCGCTCGCACGGATTGCGCTTCCGGCGAAAAAAGTGGTGGTTCTCGTCAGATATTATATATATTTATATTTTTTTTTAACTTTTAACTAATTAAAAAAAGAGCTAAAAAGTTAATAACTATTAACTTGGCTTAGTTAATTTAAAATGTATTAATTTTTAACTAGGTATTTTTACCTTAAACTTATTAACTTTTTTCCTAAGTTAAATTTTTGAATTTCTGAATACTATTACTGTTTGTTTTATAAGTTATAAACGTATTATTTTTAAATTAAAGTATTATTAATTTTTATGATCATTTGTCAATTGTAATTCATCAATTGTAATTGTCAAAAAATATATTTCTATATAAAAATCAAAATTTTTTTATTATATATTTTAAAAGAATTAACAAACAAAATTCTAATTTAATATATGATAAATAATGTTTTTAAAAATTAACTTTTGATTTAATTTCAGTTAATTTGATCTTAACTTAACTTTAACTGAGTTAATTTTTCGTTCATAAAACTTTTAAATTAACTAAATTAATTTTATAAGCAACTAACTTTAACTTAACTTATTGTTAGTTTAAAAAAGTCATTAACTTATCCAACCTAGATATATATATATATGAATGCGCGATTTTTTTTCTGACGATATATCGTAGTCTTTCGTTCGTCATTTCTCGTGTCATTAGTTCAATCTATGGATGACGTACGCTGAGTATTACTTACAAAGAGTGATCCCTTCCTTTATCTGTCCGATCTCGCTTTCCCTTTTTTTCCTCTCCTTTATAATAGTATTTCGTAATGTAATCTCGATTAATTTCAAAAGTATCGCGTAACCCGTTCTTTCACGATCTATTTATCAGAAATTAATTTTACTCGAGATAACGAAGCAAGTTTTTTTTATATAAATATAAGATTTAATATAATTAATTTTGTTCGTTTGCTTCCTCGTTATGTATAAATCGATTGTGAAATTCTACATATATCCAATTAATATTATAATCAAATATAATAAACATTTATAATTAAAATTTATAATAATATTATATTATTTATAATTTTAGAAATATGATATATAATTTTATAATTTTATTTTAATGTGGTACTTGATATTATTTTTTTATAGAGATAATATATTAATACCTGATTGATATAAAATGCAAAATTACATGACGAAACTTCGAGATCCATCTCCTCAAAGATTTAACTAACGTCGGAGCTTAATTATAAAGAGACACGTCTTGAGATCGTCGCGAATTAATTATTGAATACGAATGAGAAGAGAAATTTTCGTTCACACTCACCGATTATCATGTGGTTGCAGGATCGCGGTCGACTCTCTGACGGCTTCGTCATCTCTCGCATCTGAAGATGTACTTGATGATGTGTATCAGAGAGCGTATCTTCGCCATCACTTCCTCTTGCATGAGATTAAAGCACATCGCAATCAACGCCATTCCTGAGACAGAAAGGAAGAAGTGGAGAGAACGATTTTTTTCACGAGGAGCGCGTGTCGAGAAATTATAGATTGGATTTATTTCAAGCACATCAGAGGGATATTATTGCGCGAATTGTTCCGCGATTCGAGAACGCTTCTCCCGATATTCGATAGCACTTGAATATATCTCTCTCTCGGCGAAAAATCGCGTCCGTACGCAATCGGGCATCGATCGAAACGAGCTTAATGCCGTGTGTATACATATACGACGGGTGCAATCGCGTTGCAGGATTTAAAAGCGGTTGATCCCTTTTAAAACGATTGTCTTCGCGCCGCGCCGAAAATTCCACGACGATCGGATTAGTGAAAAAAAAAAAAAAAAAAAACGAAGAATCAACTATTTTTTTCCGTCTCACCATTTGTCGAAACGACTGACAATGAAATAAATACGCGCGCATCAAATCGGATGACTTTGTACACTTTTTAATCCGAGAAAGCGGCAGCTGTCAAAGTTTATTATTTAGTTGGGTGACGACATTCGGGAGTAAGTCGATTTTTTCCCTCAGCAAATCATTTCAATACTGCCTAATAAATTAGTTATTTGAAACTAATAATATCGATTTGACGTGAAAAATAATTATTTTATATATAAGAAAATCCTTTTCAAAACAGGTTACTATTCATTAGTTTCAAATAAATGATTCATTAGGCAGTATTGAAATAAATATAGTGTTATGTTGAGATGATTTTAAAATTAGCTAAAGATGAGAGATAAAAATATGTAAATTTAGATAAGATGAAGATGATTTTGTTTTAAATATATTTAGATAAAAATAAAATTATATAACGCTTCATCTAAATAACTTTTAGATAATATTATTTTTAAGATGTAAACGCAGTTATCAAAAATGTAAATTATAAAAAGGGATATAAAAATATATTTATAATTTTGTAATTTTCTATTGCTTACTGCTTAAGTCTGCTACTTAATAATAATATTTTATTAATACATATTTTTATATTATATAAAAATAAGATGACGCCACAACACTTCATCTAGATGATCCATATAATTTTATTTGGAAACACTAAATAAATGGAAACACTAAATTAATTGAACCATTTTTCCAATACATTAAATGAAAGACTTACCAAGCATCAGGTACATGGAACAGAAGATGAATGACAGTTCGAGGCCTTTTCCGGAGTAGATCTTATCCCCCGGAACGTAGTCGCCGAAACCTATGGTCGACAAAGAGACGAAGCAGAAGTAAGAGCCTTCCAACATGTCCCAGTCCTCCCATTTCGAAAAGAGAACCGCGCCGCCCCAGATATACCTGTCGAAAAAGTCAAAGGAAGCTTTTCCTTTTAAGCACGTGAGTCTCTTCCCAGGGAAACTCTCTCGCGAAGAGTTTAATCGCGAGACGCGAAGGAAAAATTTCACGCCGGGATTTCGGACTTAATAGAATCTCGATTCGAGTCGCAAGGAATTCGACAATCTCCAAGTTTTAATACTCTTTCGTGACTTTTCAAACTAAATTCATATCTACTTGCAATAATAAGAGATGTCGGAACATATTTCTATTTCAATCGCAAAATTATATCACGAGATTTGGATTCAATAGAACTTTTATAAATAGAAGCGGAAACTCAATAGAGTTTTTTTAACAGTGCATATTCTCCTTTTGCTCACGATAATTTAACATTTATAATTTAATCAATCTCTGCGGCGTTCTCCGACAAACTCTTCCAACTATCTATCGAAGAAATATATATACAGGGTGTATTTAAATAAGTACGAAAAATTTTAGGAGAAGAGTTTTTTGTCGAAAATTAAGGGAGGTTTCTTATATCTCTCCCTGAGGAGTTAAGTTTTTATTTTTTTTTAATATTAATAAATATCCTTTTTATTAGTGGAAAATATTCATCAAGTTTCATTTTTAAATGTGTCTAGAATTCGAGAACAAAAATAAAAACTTAATTTCTCCATCCCTTAATTTTCGACTTAAAATCTCCCTTGCAAAAAAAATCTTCTTAAAATAATCTCCTTAAAATTCCCGGAAAATCTCCTAAAATATTTCGCATTTATTTAGGTACCCTGTGTACAAATCTTTTGTTTCAATTATAAAGTTACATTATATACTTTGATATTTTATTTCCCCTTGAAAATGTGGAGATTGTTGGAAACAGGCAAGAGCAAATTCTTTTCAAGTTGACAAAATAAATTCTGATTGCGGGAGTTTATCTTGCGCTCTTTTACTTTGTTTCTTAATTAGCACTCCGATAATCTCTCTCTTTCTTGGGACTCACCATGATGGCAAGGTTTCTGATATCCTTCCCTGAGGAGTTCAGTTTTTATTTTTTTTTAAATATTAATAAATATCCTTTTTATTAGTAAAAAAAATCCACCAAGTTTCATTTTTTAATTTGTCCAAAATTCGAGAACAAAAACTTAATTTCTCCCTCCCTTTTAAAATCATAAAATAATCCCCTTAAAATTCCCGGAAAATCTCCTAAAATATTTCGCATTTATTCAGGGTATATATATACCCTGTGTACAAATCTTTTGTTCCAATTATAAAGTTACATTATATACTTTGATATTTTATTTCCCCTTGAAAATGTGGAGATTGTTGGCAAGAAGGACGAAGGTTGAGCAAATTCTTTTCAAGTTGACAAAATAAATTCTGATGAATCCTACCCTACCGCGGGAGTTTATCTTGCGCTCTTTTACTTCGTTTCTTAATTAGCACTCCGATAATCTCTCTCTTTCTTGGGACTCACCCCACCATGATGGCGAGGTTTCTGATATCCTTCCCTGAGGAGTTAAGTTTTTATTTTTTTTTAAATATTAATAAATATCCTTTTTATTAGTAAAAAAAATCCACCAAGTTTCATTTTTTAATTTGTCCAAAATTCGAGGACAAAAACTTAATTTCTCCCTCCCTTTTAAAATCTTAAAATAATCCCTTTAAAATTCCCGGAAAATCTCCTAAAATATTTCGCATTTATTTAGGTACAAATCTTTTGTTCCAATTATAAAGTTACATTATATACTTTGATATTTTATTTCCCCTTGAAAATGTGGAGATTGTTGAAAACAGGCAAGAGCAAATTCTTTTCAAGTTGACAAAATAAATTCTGATGAATCCTACCCTACCGCGGGAGTTTATCTTGCGCTCTTTTACTTCATTTCTTAATTAGCACTCCGATAATCTCTCTCTTTCTTGGGACTCACCCCACCATGATGGCGAGGTTTCTGATATCCTTCCCTGAGGAGTTAAGTTTTTATTTTTTTTTAAATATTAATAAATATCCTTTTTATTAGTAAAAAAAATCCACCAAGTTTCATTTTTTAATTTGTCCAAAATTCGAGGACAAAAACTTAATTTCTCCCTCCCTTTTAAAATCTTAAAATAATCCCTTTAAAATTCCCGGAAAATCTCCTAAAATATTTCGCATTTATTTAGGTATAAATCTTTTGTTCCAATTATAAAGTTACATTATATACTTTGATATTTTATTTTCCCTTGAAAATGTGGAGATTGTTGGAAACAGGCAAGAGCAAATTCTTTTCAAGTTGACAAAATAAATTCTGATGAATCCTACTCTACCGCGGGAGTTTATCTTGCGCTCTTTTACTTCATTTCTTAATTAGCACTCCGATAATCTCTCTCTTTCTTGGGACTCACCCCACCATGATGGCGAGACACAGAGTTAACGGCACCGTCACGTGCTGCGGATCGTAGCTGTCGCTCCCGTCGTCGCCTTCGTCGTCGCCCTCGTCGTCTCTCGGCGAAGTTTCTTCCAAACTCGACGTGTCTACTTCCCCGCCGTGGGTGTTCACCATCTGCAGACGTAAATCCTGTTTGAACAGCCTTTACGCGAGATATTCCAGAACTACTAGACTCGACGAGGTTTTCCTCCTCCTTCTACATAAGGATTCTCCCCCTTACTTAATTGGACGTATCGCTTAATTCTCAACGGTAATGAACGTATCCTCGCTAGTAAAGAGGCTTAAAACTTTCTCCGTGACGCGAAATCCGCTTGAAATTAAGTCAGGAGGTCTATATCCGCTCGGAGCGAACATTGGAAGTAAAAGAAAGAGAAAAGAATCGCGCTTCTCTTTGAAATTTCGATGAATATTTTGAGTGGGAAGACTCTCTTCTTCCCATGTCTCGTGATATTGTTTCGGATCACTCACCTGCCAATCATCTTCCTTAGCAGCCGGATCGTCTCCATTCGGCACCTCGGAGGAAGCTTCGGTGGTCAACTCTCGAGGTCTCCTCCGGCACCTGCGAAATCATCGATCGACGATTCATTCTCAGGCCGAAATCTTCGGGGTTTACCGGAAATGGAGAAGGGGATGAATGGAAAACGGGATGCGGCTTTTGTCTTACTTGCACAGGCAGCAACGGGCGTAGGTCCATTTGAAGCTTCTGGCCAGAATGTCGCCGATATTGCTGAGATAGAGGAGGAAAAGCGGCATCCCTATTATCGCGTACACTATAGTCACGACTTTGCCCCATTTCGTCCTGGGACAAATGTTGCCGTAACCTGCGCAGTAAACGAGAACGCGGCCAAGTGAGTTTATCGACGAGCTACGCTTCCGTCCCGTGTTTCTTGTTTCTTGCCTCGTCCAAATATATATACATGTACATGCATCAGGGTTGGCTAGTTAATTAGTTAAAAGTTGGAAAAAAAGTTAAAAGTTAATAACTTTTAACTTATTAATTTTTAACTTCAACTAGTTATCTTTGACTTTAAACTTATTATAGTAACTTTGTTCCTAATAATAAATTTAATTTTTTTTTATGTCTGAATACTATTACTGTTTGTTTTATAAGTTATATAAATGTATTATTTTTAAATTAAAGTGTATTATTAATTTTGATGTTTATTTGTCATCAATTGTAATGACCAAAAAATATATTTCTATATATAAATATCAAATTTTCTTTGTTATTATAAATTTTAAAAGAATTAACAAATAAAATTCTAATTTAATATAAATAATATGTTTTTCGAACTTTTAACTTAACTAAATTAAGTTTATAAGCAATTTACTTTAATTCTGAACTTGGTTTTACAAAATCATTAACTTATCCAACCCTGACATACATACATATATATTTAATAAAGGATGTATCTAAATAAGTGCAAAAAATGTAGGAGATGATTCTGTATCAAAAATTAAGGGATTCTTGTTAGAGAGAGATAAGTTTTTTTTTTCTAAAATTTTAGACACAAATTAAAAGAATAAAACTTGATGGATATTTTCCACTAATAAAAAGGATATTTATTAATATTTTTTTATCTTCCTGTGTCGTTGTAAGGGGATGAAACTAATAATCCTTATTTAATGTTTTAATTCTTTTATTTTTAGAGTACCTATATATATGTTTATATGAGAAATGCTCCTGAATTTTTGACAAAGAATTATCTCCTAAAATGTTTCGCACTTTTTAGACACACTCTGTATATACGTGGGCTGATTCATTTTTGATTAATTTATCGCCGAGCGTTTCGGCAAAGTAAAACCTGCTGCCGGTCTCAGGCCAAGTGTGAATTATTAATTCGAGAATCGAGTGCGATTTCAAATATTCATCTTTCGATAGAGTATCATGCGATTGCGATAAAAAAGCCATAAGTACATATATAATCGTTTGTGAAGAAAAAAGAAGAGATATCGACGGATATCCTAAAGATGAGATAAAAATATGTAAATTCATCTTAGATAAAAGATGAAATAATATGGCGATTTCATCTAAATAATTTTCTAGATAATTTTTAAGACGGCTTATGTAAGTTATAAAAAAATGTAAATTATAAAAGGGATATAAAAATATACGCATTCATATTTTTATTTATAAATTATCGCTCTATATTATTTAACTATTTTTATATGCTACGATTCTAAACCAAAATGATCTGAAAATTACTCTAGATAATTTAATAAAGATGATACATTTTTTCATCTAAGATACATATATGGATAATATCTTTTTATTATCCACATAAAGATAAAATGACGCCACAAAGTTTCATCTAGATGATCATTTATATAATTTTATTCAGATAATCTAACAAACACTGGTCATAATTATGATCAAGTTCGCCGTCTTGTGGTGATTTATTTGCGTTCTCGGATATATAATTAAACGAAACATCCCCGATATTTTCTCTCTCTCTCTCTCTCTACGACATTCTCGGGGTAGAACCGACTCTCCATTATCGCATAGATAGCGATTTCCGCATCAATTATCTTCTTGACAATTCAACCGGACGCTGTTTCAACAGATGCGCCCGCGAGAGAGTTGGACGGAATCCCGAAACTTTCGTGCTCATCCCCCGTGGGAGACGTAAACAATCCCCCGCTCGGATATTCATGTTTCATAACGTGGCGAAACGTGCTCCATAAAACCAGGCAGATGTGCGGGTCTTTAAAAAAGAGAGAGCGCCGAGGATAAAAAAATTTCGCTCGTAAGTTCGCGATTCGTTCGACGGTGAAAAAAAAAAAAAAAAAAAAAAGAAAATGGATATACGCGCCGCGTTTTTTTTTCCGCGGAAAAATGATTTTTTACGAAGGAAAAGCGACAGTTTTTCGTCGTAACGTGTCCGGTGCGCCATGTTTATTTTTCTCTTTTTTTTTGTTCGATTTTTCGATTTGCACGTTAACGCAAAAAAAAAAAAAAAAAAAAAAAAGAAAGAAAGAAAGAAGGAAAAACAAACATTGGACATCGATCACGAACGATCTACGGAAATATTTTGTTCGCGCGAAAAGAGTCGATTAAAATATGTATCTCCGTCTCTCTTTCTCTCTCTTAGTTAAAAATATAAAATTATTATACATTGTAACAGCACCGTGAATATCCGATTGCTTTTCGCGACGATAATAAATTCCAGTACGTTACATTTTATCGCATAAACTGACAGCGCGGTTGTGAAACGAGTTTAACCTACATAACTGATAAATGTTGGCTAAACTTGGACTTGATGGGAAAAAGTCGCATTAATATCTAATTTGTCGCGTTAACGAGTTTCATTCGCCCGAGACGCCTATTTTTGAATTATAAAAAAAAAAAAAAAAAAAAACTGGCGTATCATTACCGATATTAAATTAACACTCTGTCGCATATTAAATATATTGATCGGAGTAATCACATTAATCTTTCATCGCGCGGAAACGTTATCGTATCAATATCGAATGCCGACGATTGTTATTTCGATTCATTTACCGAACGACAACGCGGTTGTCCAAACGTTTCCTCTATTTTCCGTGGAAGGGGAAAATTTCGGCTATCATTATTCTAAACAAAAAAAAAAAAAAGGGAACGACAAGCTGTAGAATCCGGTGCCAGAAAACCGATATATGCGACATATCGAATCGGAGCGTGTCTTGTAATCAAGCGAAAGTCGCGATGAAAAAAAAAACTGGTGCTGTTGTCCTTTTTTTTCACACACACGCGAACAAATATACGAGAGATGGTACAAAAAGGGGAACGTGACGAGGGTTTGCATTCAGCGTGATTTTCCAGGAAAACCGCATGTCGAACTTCCGCCTCGCGGACTTGATTTTCGAGGTCCATCTCTCTCTCTTTCTCTGGGTCTCTCGAAAATTGCGACCGCGTCGAGCGCAATTCTTACGGATCTCGGGCTAAACAAGCGTCCACAGCCGTGATGTTGCACAATTTACATTTTGATAAAAATTAAAAGTGCCGAGAAAACACGCACCGGGACTCGCGTCTGACCGCGATAAAAAAGAGGCGATCTCTCTCTCACTCTCGGCGGGAAAAGTAATTTGCATAATAAATTTACGTGACTTTGCAATTCATGTGTTCTTACTACTGTGGCATTGCGTGAACATCACGTGATTACATAATTTTCATTTCAAATCACAATTTGCTCACAATTTATTTTACATCTTAGTATTGTGTGAACACACCGCATGATTACATAATTTTCATTTCAAATCGCAATTTGCTCGTAATTTATTTTACAAACCCGTCATATTTTTCACCTTCTTTCTTGATTCTTCTCTATGATTTTTTTGTAATGTTACTATATCTTCAAGAAAAAGAACACCGCTAGTTTTTATGTGCACCGCATCTGACTTCCGCTGCATTTCGCATTTTAAATCGACGTTCGTCAAAAATTTAATTCGAAACTAATTAAGAATTTCTGTCAGAAGTGCACTCAATGTTGCTAATTATTTTACAAGCTCATATTTTTCAGCTTCTTCCTCTCTTTCTTTTTCTACGATTTCTTTGTAACGTTACTAGTTGCTATATCTTCAAGAGAAAGAGGATTGCAAATTTTTATGTGCACCGCATCTGACTTCCGCTGCATTTCGCATTTTAAATCGACGTTCGTAAAAAAAAATCTAATTCGAAACTAATTAAGAATTTCAGAATCAGAAATGCACACTTAATGTCGCTATTTATTTTACAAGCCCGTCATATTTTTAGCTTCTTCATCTCTTTCTTTTCCTCCGATTTCTTTGTAACGTTACTAGATATCTTTTAACAAAAGAGCACTCTGCAAATTCATATGCACACTGCACCTTACTTCCGCTGCATTTTGCATTTTATTAGTCGACGTCGTAAAAATGTTAATACTAATTAAACTAAACTCTCATCAATGTAATTTCATTATTATAAATTGTATGTTTCATACAATTATATAATATCAACTAATATTTGCTCGTCTAAAAAAATCCCTTAAAATACCTCATATTATTTATTAATAAGTCACGAGCTGTAGACAAAATTCTTGATATTTAATTAAACTAATGAAAGTGCGTTTCCGCCGCGAGTGTCGAAAATTCGGAACCTCGGTTCGAGATATATCTCGTTAATTTTCGCGATTCAGCGACCGAAGCGATTTACGACAGAGAGCGGGAAAGTCCCGCGTCTTTTAGCCGGCGATAAAACCGGCCGTAAAGCCGGTAAACGGAGACGCTTAAACGCGGGGGCTCCGTAAATATCGCGTTTAAGCGTCGTCTCCGCGGAAGAAAGAAGGAAGCTCGTAAATTTACGCGCTGCTCGCGATTTACGTTCGCGAAGAGCAAGTGCGAAATTCGCGTCGCGTCGCCTCGCGTCGCGTTCTCGGGACGACGACGTCGACAGTTTGACTTATGACAGGCGACGTGACGCGTCGCGATCTCTCGCTTCGCGAGAGGATTCCCGATCCCGGGGAAATTTTACACGAGGAAAGAGGAGGGAGAAAGAGAGGAAATGTATAAAACATGCGCCTGACTGACGGGATGTAATCAAATGATCATAATATTATATCAAAACGAGATTTTCATGTGGCTGTTAATGGGAGATTTTTCAGCTAATTTGGAGACGATTTTTCCTCAACGAAAATGTCCAGGCACCAATGATTTTCGAGTTATAAACGATTGAAAATAAAAGCTCTTTGTAAACTGAGCCTTGGAAAAATTAATTATTAACAAAATTATATTTTTAGTTAATTTCAGGTAAAGTTTACTTTAATAGAATTTTCATTTAATTTTTCTCAGCTGATTTGGAGACGATTTTTCCTCAACGAAAATG